CTTTTATTTTATTTTGATCGGTCTCCTCGACGCTCTTTCTCGTTTGGTGCGGTAGCTGGTCTTTCTTTCTATCATTTTGTTTCTCTTCCGAGTGGTTTTTGTACCCTATTTTTTTCTGTTTCTTCGTGGGGTCGTGTATGCCGGGTTTTGAGACCACGGGCTCCCAATCTTTTTTTTTTTAGAGCTAATGTGAGAAACAACAACAACAACCCGCTGCATTAATGTGAGAAACAACAACAACAACAATACAGGTTCCATTTTTTTGACACTTTCAAAAATTTTGACAAAAAGTCGGTCCGTTTAAAAGGCTGACACGCGGCCGGTTTACATGCCTGTCATGAATAATGCAATGTCGGCTTTGTCTTGCAACTCCCGTGCGACACGCGTCACGCGTGGGTAGCGCACGCATACGCAAAAAGTGTGCGTAACTCATACATTCACTGATTGGATCTGTTTTCGGTTGCGGTGTGTGGCACTGTACACCAGCAAACGCCTCCCGAAGGAAAGCGGGGCTGCGTGGGGTGGCTCCACGGTGCCGATAGCCCAAAGCCGATAGCCCAAAGCCGATAGCATTAGCTTCGGAATCCGTCGTGCCCCAACCCCGGACCCGACCAATCGCCAGCAAGGGAGCATAGTTTCCCCCGAAGCTGCTGCATGTCACACAGACACACCGACCGGTGAAGTCTAGGTACGTTTCGCATCGCGTCGGTTGGTATGAAGTCGTTCCCGTTCAATCAATTGAGTCAACAGGAGACTTCCCACGAGTCTCCGCCTGATTTACGATTCACAACTCGCGCAATAGCCAGTTCCGGACCTAGATGTTGCCACAGGAAGGTCTTATTATGGCTTCTGTCTCTGCGTGAGGCGTGCGCCTATTGTCACGATCCAGCCCTATTACGACGGGCCAAGCAACGTCGCCATTATTGTGTGTGCTTCTCCATTCCCCCGCGTGGTGGACAGACTCAACAGCAGCAGTCTAGACATGGCGTACAGCACACCTTGACCACGTACATGTAGATTTTTTCGCTGTCGAAGCCATGGCAATCTACTGTCCTTTGCATTGCGCTTTGTTTAGACGAAGTGATGATGCATGGTTTATGACGCATGGAGACACCCGTCTATTTTCCCTCGGTGGTCGGTTTGTGTGTTGGTAAAAGCCACAGCACACGACTTGGGAATTTTGACCACGGGTGCTCAGTTTGGACTTCACTACATGAAAACTACATAGTCGCCGCTGGGAGAAAGAAGGAACGCGTCTATGGAAAAGTAAGAGGTTCGCATGGAGCTGGTGGTGGTATATTCTTTAGTGCAAGGAGCACGAGGTCATCACGGCTGAGAACAGTCGAATTTCGACGGGAGGGCGTACGCCACAATAGTACCAAAATACAGCGTCATGCTGAGTAATGCGTGAAGAGGCGCCAAGAGGACTATCGCCTGAACGTTTCAATCGTTTCCATGCACATGTTTTGCAGCAATGGAACCGGCCTCCCACACTATTCGACAAATATGTACCGCTTCGATGGAAGTGCAAATTAGCTTCCATGGAAGTTGGAGCTACTTTCATGGAAGGAAGCTGATACCACTTCCTTCCATGGAAGCTACACGTTTTGTATTTCAATGGAAGCGCAATGCGACACTTCCATGGAAGCGATATTTGCTTCCATGGGAACTTTCGATATGAAATGTGGATGTGCCACTCCCATGGAAGTCCCGTGAAAATCCCATGGAGCTACTCAAAACACATTTACTGTAGGGCAGCTTCCATGGAAGTCAGCTTCGGGTTACCCAATCGAACCTCTGAAAACGACACGCATGTCAAGGACGTTTCCGCGACCTTTATTCCGATGCAGGGTGGCACGCAGAATATGTACGAGGTCCGTTCTGATTTTCAATGTGTGCGTTTGCCTGCATCAATAGGTGGTGCACACAATTACTATGCCCTCCGCGCGCCTTTCCACTGCACACCACAACGCACCAGCCATGCTCCCACCTCTATCGAAGTTAGAGTTAGGGGTAGGGGTAGTTTTTTGGTCGATGGCTGGGGTGTTTGATGCAAAGGACTGGAAATTGGTCAAAGTTGCCTTATCAGCGTTTCCGCCTCCAAAAATAAGGAGCACAACGAAGAATGAGAATCCAACCTGCGCCACACGTTTGCAGGCACCTTCTTTCAAGATTTGTACCTGTGCATGCACATGTTGATACGCCGGTTGTATGTAAAAGCACTGCTGAGGACGCGCGGATACATCGAGAGGACGAGGGGCACACGGCCGTCGTCGACGACCTCTTTGACATGGTCGCGAATATATATGTCGGTTGATTCGTCAACCAGCGTAATACACTCCAGATCCATGCCCGCCCGAAGGAAGTCTTGCTAAACAGCGTTGAGAGAGGAAACACGTATTCTGTAGGTCCCACTGAGCCTGGTGAATCCGTATGACTACCAAGACATGGGGCTGGTGTAGAGGACGGCCCGGGGATGCTGGAAAACAAGGTAGACTAGTGCGCGGAATACAGGCAAAAGAGTAGGCCTCGTCATCGCCGTACAGGTTTAATGATATGTCAAGCGAAGCGCATAAAACGGCGGCGGAGACTTCAGGCCAAAGTCGTGCATCACACCGTCGCTTGCAGAGGCCCACGTTCACTCTCGACTTGAGGAACGTCACTTCTTCTTATGCGCGTGACCAAAAGAATAACATGTGAAAGGGGGGGGGGGGGGGGGG